AGGGCTTTTCTTGCCTCGGTTTTTATGCAGGAAGTTGGAATACTCATCCAGGCAAGATGAAATCTGGACCTTTGCATTGATCTTTTGCCTTTTTGACAGTCAAATGMAATTTCCAATTTCACTCTGCTGCAATGCTGACCTTAATTTCAGTAGTAGCAACAAAACCCTGCRTCTTTTAGTTCAGTAGAAAATAAGTACAAAATCTTCCAGGGACATTGGGATGTTTGGGAGGCCCCTGATCTTTAACAGTCACCTTTTCTTCCTGTCTAAACAATAAAACCATGAATAAACTATCAATAACCCAAACTAATAGAATCTGTAACTTGCAAATATTTTCAACAGCTTTCACTTTGAGAAGTTGAGGACTTTTATTGTCTTTTCACCCAGTTTGGGGGTTTTGTGCCATTTTCCCATGTCGGGTCCTAAAGGTTCTACCAGAACTATCTCCGCAGAAAGGACAAGAAAGGGCTCTTCACATATGAAGATAAAATATCATTTTCCCTCTCATTAACTCTTCTCTTGTAATTTTATTCTAATTGATTAGGGATAATATCTAAATTCAGGCGCAGATGGCTTCCCAAATCCAATTAGCCCTGTGTTCATAAACCCCACTGTCCACCCATGGCATCCCCAGTGCAGCCCATATGAGGCTTGGGGTTCTTACAGAATCAATTAATCAATTAATTAGTACAACAACATACTCGAGTGTTTCCCTGTGTTTTAAACAGGATCATTGACAGACTATTTTTAATTTCTTGGGCTAACAGAACTCGTTTCCTGAGCATGAAGTTGTGTTCAACCAGGAGGAGCAACCAGCCAAAGAGTTTGTTTCAGAAATGTGAGCGCAGGATGTAATTCCCTCTTAAACGCTCTAATACCTGATTACATTGTTTATTCTWCTGGATTTTAATTAGGAGCCCTTAATCCTGGTATTGACATAGGGTAGGTTTTATGGCATTGGTGAAAATTAGGAGCATCTTCCCTGTTGTACACAGTGAACCATGTTTTCTCTTGGGGTGTCCTAAACTGAGCATCAGATAAAAAATCTGAACATGCTGGAACATCCAGTAAGACCTGCTCATATTTATTACTTAGATTTGTGAATGAAAGCGTTTTCTAAATGTGAARCACATGGCAATRCTCAGAAACAGCCTCTTATAATTTRYATTATTTTTTACTRCAAATCAAAGSACTGAAAATAYGCTCATTTCTGATCTGGTGATTGAGTTTCATCCCATGGTCTAGGTTCCAGAATATTTCAGCTGTGCTGTGCAAAGAAGAATAAAAGCACAGACTTTGCTTCTGTAGATTTCCATTGTCAGGCAGTATCACATCTGTCTGGGGAAAAAAATAAAATACAGGGAAAAAAGAACAAAGCAGAGACAATTCTCCAGCTGGGAGTGCAGATCACTGTGTTAGGGCCATCTCTAAGCCCTACTGAAAAGTAACACCACAGCTTGACATGATTTTCTTCTTTTACCTCTGCAAAGATGCTTTAGAATGCTTTAAATACATGCTGTTGTGGAGAGGGTGTCTCTGAGCCAGTGCTGGGAAGGCACTGGAGAAATTGTAACATTAACCAGAGAGCTCATGGAACTAAGAGCTCCTGGTGGAAATAAGACTTGATGGATAYCAGTCAAAGAAATCCATGTGGGAGRGGAAAAGAAATTCATTTTTGGGGACCATCTAGAAGGAAAGCCACTGTAATCCCTAATTTA